ACCCCCGCGGGGCTTGTGCCGGAGCCTCCGGAGTGGTTTGGGGTCAGGTATTTCCGTCAGGAAAAAAGGAAAAAAACGGGTAATCTGTTAATTAACCCCTGTTAGTGGTTAGTATTCCACGTTTGCTCATGGAGTTGTAAGAAGGGGGATGTGTTTAATAACGGTGAGGGTCGGGGAAAAGTAGCTCTTTCCGAGAAGATAGTTCTGGGTTTCATTTTTTTGGTAAAAACGTTTTTGCCTTAAAAAAAGTTCATTTTCAAAAGTGTGTGATTCTTCGTAACCACCTCCCCCCACCACCACCTTAAACTGCATCCGAAGTTAAACCTGAGGGATTCTCTTGCGTGTAGAAGCGAGTGATGGGTCTGTCAAGTTGTGTCGCTGGTGAATGGCACCACGTGAATTCCTTCTCTCATGTTAAATATCTGCACATGCCCGTGTGGGTACATACATACAGCCATACCTACGGTTCTGATGGATGTTTACCTAAACTGTCCTTATAAACTTTGTAAGTGTGATCCCAGATATCCTTTAGGTAGTTTGTTTCACTTACAGCTACTACATGATTTATGTTTTCTGTGACTGTGAGCTTTTTAGGATGCTTCTTCAAGGCTAGTGGAAAACCCTGCAAACTGATCAAAATAGTGACTGTGTTTGCATTGGACATCCTGAGTGTTTAAATGCTTGTGTCTTAACTTCTCAGACAGCTCTTGTGTGATGAGCCCGCTGCAAACGAGCATCTTTGACTTACTGTGCCTGTACTATCCCAGTGCTTTATGCATTAAATTTGACACAAAGAGCAATACGCTTAGTGTGCGTGCTTAGATGATCTGTTTGGGGTGTGCTAAATCTATTGCTTGGATTCGGGCTAATATGTGTACGAGTTATAAAACACAGCTCTGTTTTTTTGGAAGTGTTACTGTTTTTCAGTATTTTCTAATAGTGATTTGACATCAATTCACTAACAAACTGTGGAGATCTAACACCTGCTATGTGTGAAATGATAAATAACAATTACAAAGTGCTGCCAAGTTCTAGGACTGGATTTAGTGTGGTTTTTATGTGGAACATAGAAGGTGTTTTGTTGTGCTCCAAATGTTTGCATTCATTTGTGTTCAGTTGTTTCATTAAGGTGCAGAGAGGTGGTACTTTCTAATTCTTGATAACACTTGTTAGGTTTTGGTGGTTTTTTTTTTTGCTGTTTTCATGAGTGTTTTCTTCTGGAGCACAGAAAATGACTTTGTGAGAATGTGAAATGTTCTTCTTGTAGCATTTTGAAGAGATGCTATTTGCTCTCCTAAACTGGAAACTACAATAATATTTTCTTGTTTTTTTCTCTCTTAATAGGGCCACATAGCCAGTGTTTGCTTTTCCTGCTGGATTCATCATGATAACTCCAGCTTTTGAGCTGACCCAGGATCCGGATTTTCTTACAATAATAATCAAAGTACCTTATGCCAGAGCTTCAGAGTTTGATGTGTATTTTGAAGGGGAAGATTTTAAGTTTTATGCCAAGCCGTACTTTCTCAGGCAAGTAGTGAAAGGACTTCTAAAAAATAATGAGCTTCATAAGATAAACAAAAGTAGAGAGTGAACTTCATTTTGGTCCCTCCAGAACATTCCTCATCTCCATTTTTTACACTGTCGACTGCAGACAGACTGTTTTGTGCAAGGAATTGTTTTTGTGAATCAGGCCTCTTTGTTTCTAGGCATTAATTTGATTAAGTTACTTTTCTAAATTTGTTTTGCAATAGATTTTTAACTGTAAAACGGCAACACAATCCTCTGGGTGTAAGTTGCGTGCAATAAGTGTGTCTTTTTGCTCTTGAGAGCCAGATACAGTACATTTGGTGAAGAATGTGTTTTGATGCACTCATAGTAACATAAAGGTAGAAAAGTCAGGTGAGTGGAGGCAGTAGGAAGTGAGGTTCCAGGCTGTATTTTTTTTCTCTAGATAGCAAGTTCCCCACTGCACTATGGAAAAGGAACAAAAGGTAATCTCAGTATGAAAGTATGAAGAGAACCTTTGGCATGTAAGAGCTGACGAGCAAATAAGCTTTCTTATTTTCTGTTTCCTGTAGTTGTGGACATGCTTCTCCTATACTTTAAGAGAGCACAAGGGATTTTAGGGGACTGCTAGAATGCAGTGACTTGGTAATTGCAAATAAATAATACAAGAGCTCTGTCTGAGTTCTCATATCCTGTCACTGTGGGTTAGCTTGGAGTTTTTAAATGGCAGAATCTTAAGTGTTGCATTTTTCATGCCAAGGGTGTCATCTCTCTGGTGGCTGTGACCTCGGCCGAGCTGGAAAACCAAGAGTCACAAATTTTCTCTATCTCGGATGCCTGTCTCTAGTGCTGGTAGTTGAGGGGAAAAGATTTTTGAAGAACATGGGGATTTAACTGCATGACTTCCATTATTATCAAAAGGAGTCCCGTAGTTAAGTCCCTTGTGCTGCTTTTGGAATGTGTCTTACGCTTTTATAGACTGAGGCAGTAAGTTGCAGATTAGTCAGACATTCAGTGAGGCATCTTATTTTTTGCCTGCAGATTGACACTTCCTGGAAGAATTGTAGAAGATGGGAGAGAAAAAGCATCTTATAATACAGACAAAGGTATGAGTTAATGTTATTTTACGTGTCACTAAAAATGCAGCTAATTTGTACTTTGCTGCACTGGGATTGCGTGGAACTTCAGTGAAATGCGTGATGCTGTAAATAAATGTAAGGTTTCTCCTCTGCTATGTAGTATAAAAAGTCTTATTCAGGATTTATTGTACTTAAGCCGTTCTTAAGCACAAAGAATGTGTTCAGAACTGTCCTAATAATGAAAAAATTACATACAAGTCCTCTTCAAGCCCTGTGGGGACTAGACGTGCTACTGTACCATGACCATTGGTCTAGTAAATCTGCCAAGAAATCAGGTGATGCTGAGTAGAAATGAGATAATCCTGCAGCAATCTCTTGGCTACATCTCGAGAGATGTTAGCCTTTCTCTGCACCTTAAGGTGTGAAAGGGATTTCTGGAATAAAATATGTACCTTGCAGAGGGTACATACATGAATGTATAATGTATTACGAATACATCAATATATTCACTAGAAACAACTAGCAAGAAAATCTGTAGTTTGCTGCTTTCAAAGCCTTTATTATGTGCTTAAGACAATAATCAGATTGCCCATTGTAGCTTCCTATGATCTTCTGTTCATTGATTGATTGGAGGAAGGATTAAAAATAAACTAAAGCTTATATTCCGTTGGTTTCCGTGTTTATACAATGTGAAACAAGAGACCACCACTGGTTAAATCTTTCATGCTTTATCATTAAAATCTTTGTTGGTTTTTTTTTTTTTGTGAAACTTGTGAAGTAAGGTTAAAAACATGCGCAGAGATTGATGTGACCTGCATGTGTCCCAGTTTCTGTGAGCCTTTTTCATTAGAGGAAAAATGTACAGTTTTGTTTGTCTTGGATATTTTGATGCAATAACTATATTCCAACTTGCCTTTAAGGAACTTTCACAATTCGGTTACCTAAAGAGATTCCTGGCCAGTATTTTGAAGGACTGGACATGCTGACATCCCTTTTAGCACCAAAGAAATCAAGATCAGCAAAACCTCTAGTAGAAGAGATAGGTATGACCAAAAAATCTTGTTTATACTAGTGATATGTGTACATAATTGAATAGTTCTAGATCTATATAGTGATAGGTGTAGAAAAATACAGTATTTCTATTATTGTCTGGTCCAAGCTACAAGAAGGATGTGAATGAATCTGAAAGGATGTGTAAGTAGAGAAGTAAATGTATTGTAGGTGATATATGTGTCATCTTGATAGGCTGAGTTATGTTTACATTTTTCCAAAAGGCGTTTAACATATGCTAATCCTCTGTAGATCTTTGTACCCCTCTAGTGGCTGTATGATACACACACGTTTGAATCTTTTTCCCACAAGCTAGCACAACTGGACTTTTAGCTCAAGTGGTGGAAGCTACTTAGAACTGCAGGTCCTAGTGGATGACTTACTTAAACATTCTTAAGTACCAATCTTGACTATCTGTGTTCAATTTTTAAATATCTTAAATTGTTGATAACATCGCTTTAGTCCTGTCAGAGTTCTGTTAGCATCAAATTCTGATCTTGCTGAAATCAGTGGGACAGTTATTTCAGTCTTTGAGGGAGTGTATTGTAAAACTTTAGCATTCCTGGTGTTTGTTTCTAAAAGTTGGAGAATTTGGAGCAGGATCTGTGGATTACTGATGTAAGCTTCTGATTGTATGACCCAGTGTTGCGTAAGATTTCTTGAAAAGATATAGTAAAAAGTGAAAGGTTTATTGTGTTATCAGTGTTTGCCTTTCTACTAAATCACATATTTTCTGTGTAATCATTTCCTTTCTCTAATTATGCAATACATACAGCTGCCTCTGAGTTGTCTGAGGAGGAGGAGGAAGAATTTGACTGGGAAATAGAGCAGACCCCTTATAAAGAAAGTGCAGAAAGCACTCTGCCAGTACAGTACCATTATGGATTTGGGAATTTGCGGTCAGGGGTGTTCCAGCGGCTGCAGGTAGATGCACTTTTGTCTTTTCCTGTCATAAAACTTCTGGGTAGCCTTCTTGTTGAGTAGGCTTCCTAGCTCATTTCATAGTTAGGAGTGGATCGTTGGGTAACTGTTCTCCTTTATCCCATTCTGTGACTGGGAATATTCTGTTTTCACACGTTGTAGTACAGACAAACCCTTGTTCCTGCAGAAGTAGGGGTCGGTCGAGACTGAATCCATTGTGTAGCAGAGCCAAGAGGCTGGTCTGTTTCTGCAATAATTCGGTGTTGAAGGGCTGAATGGGGTCCTTGGTACAAGTGGCCTCTGGAAGTGGGCTGCGGTCACCAGCCTGATTCGGCTGGCCTGTGAAGGCACGGGGGGAAAGGCCTGTGCAAATAGGCCACGTGCCAGGTGACCAGTTCTGGCAAGCTGCAGACACCCTGCAGGCTGTTAACAGTCTGCTCCTAACACTTTGGCTTTATATTTGGCATTGTCTTCTGTTCTGACTTCAAACGTATTTAATTTCAATGCACAGTATGCTTCAGGTGCCATGAATTTTAACTTATTTTTAAATTAAAAAGAAATTACTCAAAAAACCCTCCCAAAATAAAGCTAGCCTATCTGTAGGTCCTGTTATAGTTGTTGCACTGAATTTTTTTTTTTTCCTTGTGAAATTTGTAGTAGTTTTCCTCTTTGTACTTTTTGATTGAGACTTGATTTTCTCCCAAGATAGTTATTTTTGAAGTGTGCACTCTTCAAGGTGTCTGCCCACCTGGTGTCTGTGGGATTTACAAGCGTTATGCTGATGCACTGAAATTTGCTTATGTGGATTAATTGGTAGAGTAGGAGCTTTAAAATGCAGTTACTTTGCTCTTGTGCATTCAGCAGTTTCTTTAATTCATGACTAGACTGAAGCTAATATACAACCTGTATTAGTATAATAATATTCATAATATTCAGAGCTTTTATTGAGATAGTAGGTGATAACTTAGTTTTTTGTAGCGTACTTAGTCTAAACAACTCTGTAACTCATTGCACAAATTGTAGTATTTTCAGGGTTTGGAGCAGAAAGTTTGTTATTTATGGTGAAAGTATTTACATTCTGTTAGGATATATATACACACAGTGGTTTATTGCTGTGAAATGCTTGAAGAAGCACATTTCCCATCAGCATTGATGTACCACTACTTGATGCTTAAAAGGGCGCTGCACTTGTCCATTAATTAACGTACGGCCACTTCAGAACGCGAGAGCAATCGCAAAAGTCGCAAGAACAGCATCTGTGGCTTTTATCTTGTCTTTGTTGTGGTTGTGTGCTTTTGTTAAACGTTGCGCTGCCTGCCTTACGATCAAACGGCCTGAATAGACTTCCTAGTATCATGAGTTGTAAGGAGCTTCAAAGAATTGAACTGCCTTGGAATTTTGATGTTTTGTTTGCACAACGGAATGTGAATTTGGAAGATGTGAAAGGGAGGTTGAAGAGTGACTAGGGATTTTGGTGTAGTGCTGATAAGCATTCTTCCTAAACTCTTAGAAATACATCTTGTGTGTCACACCTGTGGCTCGATCGTGTGATTTCTGTTCCATTTGCAGGATGAGCTCAGTGATGTTATCGACATTAAGGATCCAGACCAAACTCCTGTGGATGAACGTAGGAGGAAACGCCTGGCAGCTGAGGCTGCCAAGTTCGACCCTGATCATTACTTGTGAGTATTGATTTACTTCACCTGGTCAAGTAAAAGTATCTTGGTTGGAACACATGCAGTTTTTCTTTTCATAAATGATTGGTTTTGAGATCATTTTTGGAAATAGTAGCTTTACTTTTTATTTGTCTGTTTCTTTGTCTCGTTACCGTGGGCCTTAGAAGGTATTCCTAAGTGTGACGCTGACACGAGACATTGTTTATCTGTTTTGGTGTTACTCTGCTGTTTAGTTACTACTTAAATCTGTATCTGAGCAGGGGCGGCTGTGAATTGTTGCAGAACATGGTTTCATAGTTCATCTCTTCGGCAGCTGAGTAGCCAATCCTTGTCAGCATTTTTGGTTGTAGATGTCAGAACTTTGTTTTTCTCTTGTGAAACAATTACTGATCCATTCTGGTTTTTGAAGGAGTAAAATCGAGTTTTGAAGTTATGAATGTTTTGTCTAGGGCTCTTTGGTCTTGACCTTCATCACATGAAACCTTTATAACAACACTGAAGGAAGGCTTCAAAAATGTGTCAGTGTGAGAGTAAAGGGAATAACATTTTTTGTTCAGTAGACTGAGTAGGTCTGCATGTGTGATGATTAAGAAATTTCCTGCATTTTTTTCAGTTTTTAATTTTTATACTGGTGTTTGGCTTGAAGAAGAAGCTAACATGGTAAGAGGAGGCTTAGAACTTGAATCTTTTAGTACAAAACCTCCTGTAATTACTATATTGAGATTTTTACCACAATGGTTTTGTGCTGAGGTAGAGGTAGTCTCTTCCAGAATTCATGTACAACTTTTCTTTCTCTACCTTGCTTACAGCATGCCTTTGTTTACCTGAAAGTCAGTCCCTATCCCTACTTTGTCGTTGCCCTTCAGCTGCGTACCCTTTCTCCTCAAGTTTTAAAGTAAAATCAAGTTTGCTGCCAGTGACATTCTCTGAGAAGTCTTCTCTTAGGAATGTTTTCCTTCACAGTCATTCAGAACAAATCGGATTTGTTAACTTTTGTGTCATGTGGCAAGCTCATTGATTTCCTAGGTTTTGGGGTGGCTCAGGAAAGGCGGAGGAAGGAGGGAAGGGAATACTGTAAGATCAGAGAGTATTGTTTATGGTTTTAATAATGTTTATTTTCTGATCAGGTTTGTTGTATTTCTAACGTGTGGAAAATAGCCTGGAGCCAAGTCAGATGTGTTGTATTTACGCGTTAAAATCTACCCACGAACACTGTAAACTGGAATAAATAGTGTATAACTTTTTTTTCTTTTTTTCTAGAGCTGATTTTTTTGAAGATGAAGCTGTACAGCATGTCTTAAAGTACAAACCGTGGTGGGTTGAGGCTTATAAAAAAATGATGGCCTTGCAGGGAGAAGGTCATCAGGAACGTGACACTCAGGCTTTTGGTGAGAACATTCACATATACACACCTGGTGCTTGAACGATGATTGCTGTGATGCTGCGTTATGTTCTGGATTATTGTTCTTAAAGGAAAAAGTATGGTTTTATTCTACAATTTTCAGTATTAACTGTTCTTCTTAAGAACATTCTCTTACTTCTGTCCTCAAAGAAAATTTTTTTTCTTTGCTGGAGAGTTAGATACTGAAACTTTTGAGACAGTTTTGTGGAGCAGTTGTCAGTATGTTATAAAGTGGTCATTTCGAGCATTTACCTGCTAATTAAGTAGTACAATGTGGGATCTCTTTCATCTGTGTAATAGATTTTGGAGTTAACTGTCCATAAAGACCATTGTAGAATTTCAGAGATCTATGAAGAAAAAGGCTGCTTTTAAGAGGATGATGTAATCTTTAATATTTCAGAGGAGCTGCCAGTGTCAGTAAGTCAGTCCTGGCTTCCGAAATCAAATCCAACCTATCTTTGTGTAGTGATTGTAATATGGATCCTTTTTTGCTGGTGCTTATCTCCTCTTTTTTCAAACGTTTTGAGTCACTGTTCTCCCTTTCCTAGTTGCATTTTCAATGGAGACAATAGTCAAAACTGTTTTGCACCATATTTGGAACTGGACACAGGCACTTCACAGCAAGTTTTCCAAGAGTCAGCTGTGGAAGACTGTACTAATGTCAGCCCTTATCTCTGTTTGAAGAACACGTCTTCTGTAGGATGTTTTCTTTTATTTACACAGTACAGCAGTGACAAATTCATGGCATTTGTTACTGTACTGCTATTTTTATGGGTCTTGGAGATTTTTTTCAAAGAAAAATCTTTGTGTCCTTTTAGAAACTGAAAGGGATGGTTTCAGGTTACTGTTACCTTGTAACAGTAATGTTAACAGATAACTGAAGATTACCTTTCTGTGCAGAGTGACTGCAGAAAGCATTGCAAGTTACTGTTACGCATATTCTTCTATTGTCCTTTGTTCGTTTCCTGTGTAGTACGATAATCTGATATTAGTGAAGCACATTATGATAATTCCTTCACCAGAGGTTCTTAACAGATATTAGTGCGCTAATAATACCTGCACTTTCTCATTTTCTACAGGAGAAGAGCAATGGATTTGGGGTAAATGTTGTATATTTTACTGTGAACATAATCTGATCTTCATTACTGGTCTCTTTTCAGCCTCTGAAGCCAGAAATTGTTAATTATATCCATCATAAGCATTTGATTTAAAAAGCACTGGGCAAAAGGTACAAGAGACTTGAAAATAGAATAATGAAGGTTTCTTTTGTTTGTTTTTCTCCGTTCACTCCTTAGTAAATGAAACACTACTGATGTTTGTCTGTGTTAAGGAGTATAATGAAAATGAAGAGCTGCTGAATTATTTTATTGACAAAAAATGGTTTTATTCCAAATGGAGCTTCTGAAGAGTAACACGTATGTTGCTGGGTTTTAGAGGCAACAACAACAGACAAACTACTGCTAATGAAAATTATGTGGAAAATGGGGCTGCAGAAAGGATCATCCTTTCTCTAAACCACTTATTATAGCAGATAAATATTTAATAAGGATGATAAATTTAGTCTGAGCTTTGTTATGGCTGAGTGAAGAGGCTCATGTAGTTTTGTGGATCTTGAGGAAACTTGATGTAAGAGGCTACCTAGTGTTTGAGTGATGTTAGTGACAACAACCCATCTTTTCCCTTAGAAAGGTGTAGTTTTGATAATACTGTTACTGCCGTTTGACTGGCAGATGTGACTGGAGATGGCAAGTGGCTGAATGAGGATTTGAAACCTTTGAAGATTCCTAAACCTCAGTGAGTTGTGGTGAAAGAAACCACCATGAGAGGGAGTACAGGTTCCACTTGAAGGTCTGTTATGAATGGAAATACAAAAGGACAGGAGGTGGGTCCAGGCTGCTGGCCTTGGAATCTTATCGGTAGGATGAGTTCCCTGTGGTTTTAGGCTTTATTCAGTCAAAGGGATGGTCTAGCTAATCCGAGATACGGATTCAGGAATTCTTACAAGGCAAATGCAATTTAACTGCACATGTGCACTAATGTATGTTCCAGTATGCGTGCTTAGGGAGTGGAAGGGATGTAGCACAGTCCTTGTTTCCTTTATGTGCTTTTTCTAAGCGAAGGCCCTTCTTTACTACTTGAGAAATTTTGGTTTTTCCACTAGAAGTGGGGAGCAGCCTGACTATGTTGAGCCAAGATGTGCTGTATAGCCAGCAGGGTCAGGAGGCTGTCAGTGGTGTTAGGGTGTGCTTGGAGCGAGAAGCCTTTGAACTCTAGTGCTTGGCTATAAAAAGCCAAAGGGTACTTGAGCACAGAAGCTCTAGGGGCACAAAAGTTAGATGTTAGAAAGAGAAGAGTGTATTGTGGTATGTTTCAAGGTGTTTTATGAAGTGACATGTGGTGATTCGATGAGCCTCTTATGCACGTATCCCCCTGCACGTAGGTGTGAGATCAGACCTTTTTTATTGCAAAAATTGAACACAAATGTCCCCTATTTACTTTTGAACCTGTTTAAGAGTGTAAAGGAGGAGGGATTGAAACCTTCATGCAGTTTCTTTTGATTGCTTATGGAAAAGAGGCATAAAATGAAGAGTACCAAGATTTCTTACTTTTTTCCAAGTTCCAAATTCATGTCTTGTGTTAACGAAAGCATCTAAAACAAGGTGATTTCCTTGTCCTGGGGAAGCCCACTGCCCTCATGCATGAAGTGTGGTGGCTCTTTTTAGAGGATTGTTTATTGACGGTAAGTGCTTGGTAAGAGGAGAAGGTGGGAATGGTAACGTTCAAGCTGATGGTAGATGACAGCCCAGGCTACCCCAGGATTGAGGTACTGGCCATCGGGTTTGACACCTGGGATCTTTTAGGGTCCCTGTATTTTGGGCTCCATTACTGCTACCACTAGGACAGTTCCCACCTGCGTGGTGTTTGTGCAATCAAGAACGTCATTGGGAACAGACTTCTCAAGTTACTACATGGAAAAGTGACGTGGAAGTGTGGGAAAGTGACATAAAAATTATTGAATTCTTTAAAAGTGTATTTTCTTAATCAGGAACATTGAACCAAGAGACTTTGGTGTTTTGTTTCTTCCTTTTGCTGATTTCTATTGATGTCCTTTTGTTTTTTATCTTCACTCGTTTCTTGGAACCAAAAACTTGATTATTTTTGCGTTCATAATGTCTTTGGCTACAAAGAGTAATTAGAAATACAGATCATTGTGTGTCGGGCATGGCATTACAATTAACTGAAGATTCTGTTTGGCTGATTGCTGCTCTTTTATCCCTGGTTATTTTCTCTCCTGCTTTTATATCATCAGGTTTTTGTAATGTCTCATTACCAGATTTTTTTCATTTTGGATCAGCTCTTCTCATTAGCATTTAAAGTCTTCAGCTCTCTTCTGTCCTTGCCTTGAATCTATTTTTATTTAACCTTTTTACTTTTTCTCCAGCTTGTGTGCACAACATGTGTATTTTGTCTTTTTTTTTAATTTCTTTTTGTATTGTCCCAAGTGTCTCTTCTTTTGTCCTCTTTTTATTTTTACATTTTGCTGTGTATTGTCTCTTCTTACCCTTTATGCTTTTTTTTGATTTGTTTGTTTATTTTCCCCCAGGCTTGTTAGCCACCAAGCAGCTAAGATTATTGCCTTTGCAGTATTGCTGAGGAACCAGAAGAAATACTAGAGATCAGGCTTCACCGTCATGTTTGTAGCAAAATAGCATTTTTGGAGCGGACGTTTTCTAAAGATGAAAGGCTCAGATTGTGTTCATGCTTAGAGTGTCTAATGCAGGTCAGGTAGTGCTCCATAAAGCCTAACTAATGACACGGCCTTTCCCATGAGGGAATAAAACTTTTGCAAAGCTTACTTTCTACTGCTGCTAGAGTTTACATTGAAGTCTTACTTCTAGAGATTCCAGATGAAAGATTCAATATTTTGTTAACAGCCAGGTTCAACTTAGTTAAAAGTTCATTTTTATTCTACTTGAAAATACACAACTGTAAAAACTCCTTTTTAGGCAACACAATAATCTTCAAAGGCTCAGGCTGACATATGTGTTTGATACAATATTTATATACTCCAAGGATAATGTGTTTTAATTTTGGTAACCTGTCATGTTTACCAGTGGCCATTCTCCGTTTCTGATCTTTTTATAGAATAGAAAGCGATTTCTTTTTGAAGATTCGCCTTTCAGTACGGCTCTGCTCAAATCTATACTGTTACTGGTAGATTCAGAAGTTTAAAATGGATCAGAAACAGAGATGGATCTTTTTTTATCAATTTTTTTTGCAAATGTTCTGGCTACCTGTTGTACTCAATGTTCCAGACTGCTGCAGCATGTGTGCCTTCCTGGCATTGTTCAGCTGCAGAGCAGGGCTTTTCACGTGAGGAAAGATTGCAGATTATTCGTGCGGAATTCTTAACCGATAAATGATAGGTCTCGCTTGTAAAGCATCTCGGGTTTGAAAAGGCAAGAGCAGTAAGGAATGAAAGAAAAAACGATGCATTCTTGTTGATACAGTTTCTAGGAACTGCACATTTGCTAAAGAACAATGACAAAAAGTAGTATAAAGGAAACTGCAAGATCCAGGAAAGACTGTCCAAGTCCAGTGACTTTATGGGGAATGCCTGAAGGAAGAAGGTCAGAAGTGATGGAGAGGAAGTGCGCTGTTGGGCGATACTAGAAATGTGCTAGCCTGTCTGTTTGACAGGTGTCCTTCCTGTGATAGATGTGATTCCTGGGAAGGAATTAGCATTTTTGTGACAAACTTCTGTATTGCTCTACTCATCAGAAGTGATTTTAAGCTTTGTGAACCTGATCTGGTGTAGTAGTCTGCTAAAAACTTGTGGCTGTTTGTTTTTCAGAATTCCTTTTCCATCTTTAGCTTCTATTTCACCTCCCTTTTGTGCTTCTCTTCAAGCTCAAAGTGCCTCTTGCCTATGGTTTTATAATGAATTGTGTTGTACTCCAGGAGAGGGTTTTCTAGCTGAAAGGGAAATGTCTTTATTCTTTCCAATTGGACCTTCTTCTGACTTTAAACACCCTGTTGTGATACCTCATGAAACCCCACCCTACTGTAGCAACTTACAAAGTGGTTTTATGGTTTTTAGAAACTAATTTTTTTTTCTGTGTGTGCTGTAACATTGCACATGCGGTTTTATGGATAATTTTAAACGGAATGGTAAAGGTGACTCCCTGAAGAATCAGTATGATTTAAGAACTTAAGAAATTTGCTGATAAAATATAGATACATCAACTATATTTGTGAATGAAGGGGTAATACTGAACTGCATTGCATTAACAGAAAAACAGAGATCGGCCGCTGTCTAAGTTGTCACTTCTTACTAGATCGTAACAAGTGAGAAAGATTGGCTTTCTCAAGATGATATAAAAGCTGGAATTTCTTCTTGCGGGAGTTTGTAAATAGAGACTAGCCTGACTCCAGAGAAATGTTTAGCTCATTGAGAAGTTTCCATAGGAATTTAAATCAAGTATTTCATGGCTGGAAAGCTGATAGAAACATTTAAAAAAGCTCATAAAAAAAGAAACATTCAAAAATGCTTTTCCTAATTTGTAATTTTCCGCCTCGAGATGAGGCATGTGCCTTTGGCATCACAAACATTTGTTTCAAAACATGTCATGAAATGAGAAAGTTTGTGGAAAGCTCCTGGGATCAAGACAACCACATGCCTTATGGGTGGATTGTATCCCTCGGAGCGGGGATTGTGTAAAAAGGAGGATGAGCAATGCTTGTAAAAGAAACATCTATAAGCACAGTTGCGATCCTTACAATAGAGACATGAGCAAGGGGTGTAAAAAGGAGCTTGGTTTACTAGGAGTTGTAACCTTTCCTTTCTGTAACGTGTAACACCCCCCTCCATTTTCTTATTTTAACCCATACAACCTCAAATTAAGAACTTTGGTTTACTCAGATCCTAACTGAGCATTTATCTCTGTATCAGATACCCGGGCAGCCTCGGAAATCCTTGGCACTTTTAGAGGGGTTCAGAATTGCCCCTGTGTACACACAGTGCACTGCAGGGCTGGAACTTCACTTTGAAGGGAATATATCGGAGTTTAATAAAAGTTAAAAATGAAAATAAGGATGATTTAGGCTTTTTCTTGAGTGATGAGTGACTCATGATTAGTTTTACTCTACTTTTAAAGAGACTGTTGAAGCAGTATCACCACCTATTAAATGAATGTGCCAGCTTTAAATTCGTAATTGATTATCCTTGTACTTTTTATAGTTGTCTTCTCTGAGGAAGAGAGAGAACAGATGAGAAAGTTCACAAATAAATCTTATCTTCTGGATAAAAGAAGCCGTCATCATGTGTATCTTGGTTTAATTGATATCCTCCTGGCATATTGCTACGAGATCTGTGTCAACGAAGGAGACAAGAACGTAAGTTCAAAAAAGAAAAATTCAGTATGTTTTAGGAACCTGGTGCCTGGAACCTGTGCTGTCATTTAGGAAAGTCACCTTTTAAAGTGAACTCACTTCCAAGCATTACAAATACATAATTAAGTTAAAATGAAAGATGTTACATCTCTAGATTGAGCTGTTGGGATGCTTGTGAGGTTTAATATGATTTCTAAATATATCTGTTCTTCTGGAGCAACACTGTAGCTGTAGGAGAGAAGGGGAGTTGCAGGAGGTTCCAGACAATTCTGTTTGTTTCTGATTTGTTTTGTGTTGCAATGTGTCTTGATTTATGTAAACGCAGAGGTCACAAAATAATTATCCTTTTGCATTGGTGGCACTTCCTTCTGGTCAGTTCCATGATAAGTATGTTTGTCTGTACTAACACCACTCCTGATCTGTCTTCTGAAAAAACCTGGAAAATCATTACATTTGTAGGACAAACTATGTGTTCACTGTTTTATATAGGCTACCGTTATATGCCCTTAACAAAACTGGGGGGTTAGGGTTTTTTGTGGATTTGTTGGATTTGGGGTTTTTTTAAGTTTATGCACTGAGTATAGAAGGTGTTTCCTGAGGCATTCTGGAAACTAGAGTGACACATTTAAAAATTTTAATATTGACACATGTTTAAAAAAGAAAAAAAACCCCTAATGCAGAGTTTTCTTTGTCTGTTATTCAAACCCTGGAAGGAAGTAGGAAGGCGTGCGTCCATTTCCAGGATTCTCCTGTTGGCCCATCTCTTACACAAGCAGCAGCCGGTTTATTTTGTGTACTGTATCCTAGGCTTTTTACAGGATATAAAAAGTTAAGAAAAGAGCAGAAGTTTCGAATGGATTCCATGCTGTTGTGGGCATAACTTGCCTTTTTGACATGGACTTGCTTCCCAGATACAACTCTGCTGGTATTAACCAATGAGAAATTTTGGAACGTACAATCCAGACCATTCTGTCGTAATCAGCCTGAATTGTGGGACACGTATTTTCGAACAGCAGGCAGGAATGTCCGGTTCTGCTTCTTCAGTAGTACCAGCTGGGATGTGTATTACTTGTGAGTGTTGCACAAAATTGCAAATATGTGAGGAAGTCTTTGCAGTAACTGTATGGTGTATATGGAAAACACTTTTTTTTTTCCTTTTTTATTTTTTATTTTTTAAACCATGACATTCAGACTACACAAATTTTTGCTAGAGCCAGGATTATAGATCAAGGCTTCCTGGCTTTTTGCCCTAATCATCCCACTAGACCATAATACCACACAAATAATACGAATCTGTCATATTTTAAGAAAAATGACATTTTACATGTGTTGCTGGCTTTAAGACTCTCTCTGAAAGCCAGAAATCTTGAGATATTTACACAAAACAAAGCATTTTAGCTTGAGCTTTGTTGATTCAGGTTTTTGTTGTTTGTTGAAAAGAGACAGAATTCCTCTAAAATACCATTTTTCTGTGATTGCTCTTGTATTTTTAAAGGCTTTTTTCCCATGGATTAGGTATTCCCAATATGGAAACCAATTCAGTTATTTAGCATCTACATTGCAGTGCAGTTTTTGATGCTGTCCTGTTGCCTTTTCAGTGCACATAATATAATTAGTGCTTCATATTCACAAAGGTTTTGAAATTGCTGCCAGAATGTTACCTCACATTGAGTTAGACCATTGAGTTAGATAATACTTATTTTATGGTCTCTTAAAATCAGGTTGAATCGTCTTGGAATGTCAGGAAACTGAGTGCAACTTTGTGCTGGCTGGAGGTAAGTGAAAACTTGAGTTTTACATTACGTGTTTGCTCCATTGTTTGGTTTGGGCATTGTATGTTGCTTTTGCGGAAAGCTCCCTCTATTGGGGAGTAATTAAGTGTACATCCTCTTTTTAATAAAAGTTACCAAAAATTGATCCTGACTTGTGGGCTGCCAGCTACTAGGAGCCTCCAGAGGTTGGAGTATGACCTCTTGTCTGTCTGGGTGCTGACCTCCTGGCCCGTTCTGGAAGATCTAAGGATAGGTGCTCTGAAAAAGCTGCTTGTCTACATGCTGTCCTGGGCTTGAGTCACAAGTCCTGACCTTTATTTGGGAAGTAACTGTAATTATTCTTCGTGTGTGTTCACAGTACGTGTGTGCAACTCCATGCCTAGGGCAAGAAAATAGAGCTTTTTAGCTCCTTGATTAGAAGTTGTAGATATCTTCCTGTTTAACTTGCTAAAGCACATTAAAATAGAAAGGGAATAAAAGCAGGGAATGGGGTTTCTCAGCGTTCTTGTGTCCTACCTCAGATGCATACTTTAATAATATTTGAAGAGGGCAGGCCTTAATAAAGGAGCTTATTGTTTGCTTCTGGGGCTTTTGACTGCTGAGCCTTTCTTCAGCCTTCCTAGTTCATCATTCTGCACTTCAGCTCGCTCCGTTTTGGCTGCAAATCAGGTGGTTTCTGGCTTCCCCTCTGCTCTGCTGTGTGGCTTCAGAGTATGTTGGAGGGTGGAACTGGGAAGCCCAGGAGTAAATGCAAACCCAGTGATAAGAAAAGCTCTTAGAGCTCAATCAAAAGCTTTTATTTTTATTACTTTTTTTTTCTTCACCTGTCATTGAGAAGCTGAATTCTATAGTCTTGTGGCAAAACTTCTATAGTCTTGTAGCTGTAGAACTGTTGTGTTATTAAGGCTTTCATGATAACCGGGTCGTTCAGACACATGCTGGACACTTCTCTTTCAGGTTTCTTGCAGCGTTAGTGGGCGTGTTGCCTCCGCCACCCCCTGCTTTCCAGGTTCTTGCCCCATCCCTAGGTGTTGAGTTGCTACTAGCCATGTGAAACCACGGTTGATTAAACAAAGTGAATTCTATTCTTTGCACTTTCAGGTTGTTTACTAAATGCACCCAGGCCTGTGCAGTTTGGTTGGTACAGAGATGGAGACAGAAAGGGCTTAACCTAGCCTGTAATCTATAGTTTCTTAAGAAGGCAGCAAGCTGGAAGGGACTGTCCTGTCTTCATTCCTGAAATTACTGAGCCAAGTCTCAGTTTGCAGGATCAAAAAAGAAATTTGATAGAAATTTTGGGTTCAGTCCTTCAGACTTTACTAGTAGTGGTGAATGCTACATTCACTAATAGCTTGTTCCGTGACAACTGGCTTTCCAGATCTGTTAGTTTTGATTTGTTTCCAGTTGAGTGTTCTGAAGTCGCAGGTGACAAAGGAACGCCGTTAAAACGCAGAGCTTGCCTTAACTCTCGCTTTTTTTTTTTTTCAGATGCATATCCTAACATAGCAAAGGAGTTTTCTGCGTGTGCTTATCCTATAGCAGTTCTTGGCGCAGCCTGTGCCAACAGTGTATTTCACACCCAGAAAATTCAGTCTCCTGGCACCAAGCTGTTAATAACTATATCTGTTATACAAACCATGTAGAGGCGGGTGTTTTCAGTGATCTGTAAACAAAATTGCTTCAGCTCTGGTGTGTTTGAACTGACTGCCGGATGGCTGTGTGTGACGTGTACGCACCTTAGACTCTAAATATTAAATAACAAAACATAAATGATTTAAATGCTCACCGGCGACCCGTTAAAATGAAAAATGAGTTGAAGTAGTCTCCTCATGCAAAAAAGTGCTGCCTGTCAGCAAAGCTTTTTTTTTTAATTTTAATAAATTAAGAGTTCAAGATGAAATAGGTATTCTTATTTAAATTCATAAATGGAGTATTTTGTCTTGGAAAGTGAAAGCTGGATAGGAAATCACTCTCTTAAAGTCTTTAATAACTCATTAATGCCTCTGGCCTGAGTAAATTAGAGGTCTTCCTCACTTGTAAAAGAAGCTTTTCCTAGGCAGATATATTTATCCCTGTCTTGAATATCTATAATTTTCGTGAAAGGCAGAGTCATGTATCATTTTTAAAGATCTTATATGTACACATGTATTTAGTTAATATCATATGGTTTTAATTTTTCTTTATTCTTAAAAGGCTTTTTATAGCTTCCCCTTAATATATATAATAATAATGTGGGACAGATGTAATTTATTGCTTTAATCTAAGGAATGTCAAAGTTTTGAGTTAGATGTTTTATTCTAATGTTCTCTATGTTCTTTTTTTTTAGTTCAAAATGACTGAAACGTGTAGGGCTTCTCTTATCCCACCATGGAAGAGTGCACTGTGTCTTGTTTCTGTTTAGCACGTTGATTTTCATACCTGTTAAAATACAAATCTCTAGATGTTTATAAAAATATGCCTTTTTTTTTTCCTATTCTGCTATGACTTTGCCTTAAAGCAAAACCAAACAAAACCCAAATTCTTTGTGTCAGAGACTAATTCAGCTTTTTCACTGATACACACAGAGTTTCACTGGCATTCATGATGTCCTGGTGTCTTTTGGAAGGCGAGTGCTGTGCTATCCCCTGCACAGACATTTTGGGTTGGTGACACGTGCCTTCAGTGACACAGTCATGATCCTACAGCTGGGTAAGTTTTTTAGGTATTATAAGTGCTGCCTATATAGCCATGTTTCACCTATATAGCCAGTATATGGCCAGTGTCACCTAAACTTGATAGATACTGACATTTCTGGGCGTCTTGTGGTTTTGTAAAAATGGGATTGAGGAGAGAACAAAATTAGTGTTCTTAGTAGGAAGAAGCCCCTGAAGGGACTCATTTATTATCCAGAAATTCAGCTGCGTTATTCACACCGGAAAACTGACAGAGGAAAAAAATGTTATGAACATCTTAGCCATAGAAAAATCTTTGATCCCATCTTGTATTTTGATCAATTGCATAGTCCAGCTGTGATTTGTAAAGCTTTAGGGAAAAGGTCTTCAAAGTGGTTTTTTTTTCCTCTATAATGTATTTGTCTATAAAGAGATTTTTCTGTTGGAAAAGAGCATTTTAACGAAGCTCTTGTTACGGTAGGTTAGACAGTATAATTTTTTAAGACACATTTAGAATAGGGTCTAAAGTTTTTATTTCAAAGCAGGGTCACTTATTGTTAGAACTCTAGCAGAGTTGCCCTCCTCCTGGCTTGAGGGTTCTTTCAGGATGCTGGGAAGGGAAGCAGGGACATAGTATAATGCAATGTTTTGATGATAATGATAATAATAAGCACAGTAAACTATTTAAAAGCAATAGAGATTTCTGATGGGACTGAATCCTCAAGTTTTGTCTTGACTTAAAAAGTATTAGTGCTGTGTTGATGGATCACTTCCAAGGCACAGGATACTGCATTTTTAAACTATTAAGATTCCTTGTGTGTGGTTGAAACAGTTTTTATTTTGAATTAAGACTACCTACCAAAGTGCTAATTGTAAGATGAATGCATTAAGCTGATTAATGTTGAGATGCTCAGCAGATTTTTTCCTACACTGCTTTAGTGAGCTATAATTCTTAAAATAGTTCAGCAAAACTGTTCAAAATTCTGTGTAGTTTTCTAGGATATCTATCTATCTGTTCTTTGGATAGGATTTAAAAGGGAATGAAACGCAGTGATACATACAGCTCTACAAAATGTACAGGCTGCGTTTGACAGCTGATTAACAAGAATTTATCAGGTGTGCTCATGTCAATATATGGAGCCTTTTGCTTTTCGGGAGGCCTGTAATAAGTGCTGTGGATCGGTCCTGTCAGTATGAGCTGGTGCTGTATTACCATGGCATAATGCTGATTTGGAAGTTACTCTCTATGAGCTAATAATAAAGAGAAAACTCTTCTCTGCGACATAAAGTATGCTTTGCTTCTTTCCATACAGCAATTAACACTAATAGGCTTAGGATGATATAATTATCCATTAAAAACAGATAGTGCTGTCACCGAGCTGGGTGAGTTATTACCAGAGTGTTTTAATTTACAAGTCCTAAGAGTTCTTTTCTTCTTGTTAAGGATGCTGTTCTGTTCATTTTGTAAGGAGACAGTAAAGTTTCGTTATCTTTTTTTTTAAATGAATACTTCTCCTTCTTGAAAATGTGGAAAAACGTATAGAAGCCTGCTGGAAAAATAACGATACAAAACAGAATGATGGGACTACTACTTTCCTTTGCTTCCGAATACTCAGTGGCGAAAGCTGGTGGAATTACACGATGGTGTAAAACCAGTAGGTTATGTCATTATGGCAGACACAGAGCTGGGGTCAAATTGTATCTTTTCTAAACTAATCTGAGGGAAGAGGACTGGATTTCTCAAATGCTAGAAATTGAAGTTGTGGGCTGTCATCCACCACCTGTCCATAGCAAATGGACTCCAGAAGAATCCAGTGATCTGCAGACATACATGCTTTTATGGTTTTTGCATTGTGTACTCTGCCGCTCCGCTGCTTTCACTCTGAAGTTGCGACTCATCCTCTCTCCCCGACAGCACGTCCATGATTTTTTAATGGCAGGGGAAGCAAACCACCTTTGTCTCAGAAAAACAGTGAGTTAGTACTTAGAATTGATACCTCGTCTTGCAATATGACCCTGTTTCAAATTGAATGTTACCTTCTTTTACAGCTAACGCAGATTTTTCATGACAAAAAATAGAGGGTATTTAAATCTGTCTTAAGTCATACACAAAAGCGGTGTATTTACTGATTAGTATAATGCAAAGGTCTAACTTTACGCCAAAGATATGTAAAAACTGTCTTAATCTTAGGAAAATACAAATGATTTATTTTTATCAAACTCCCCTGTGCCTGCTTGTAAGCATTTATTGCTGTTTTCCTAAATGGGTGATTTTTCTTCTTCACTGTTGAATGTAAAAGTGCTTGCCTCTTTAAGCAATGTGAAGAAAATGAAATTGGTTATCCTTGGCATGTCTTCATCTTTTATTCCATGGCTCTCTGACCTCCAGCAGACAGTGAATTTTACAAGAAGACAATCCTAGGGCTACAAAAAAAGGAAGACTTTTGAAACTAGCTCAGATCAGGTTTGTTTCGATAGACGACCCTTCAGTGAGTTGGACTGACCTAAGTGCCCAGAAAGCCCCTGGCCTCTTCCTCTTTTGGCTTCATCAGGTCTCTGATCCAGTTCACTACGTGTAAGTGATAATGCCACCGAACGTGTAACCACAGCCACCCAGCTCAGCCCAGATGTCTGCTGGCATCCTACAGGAACCATTAATTGATGAAGAAAGACTGCTTTTTATTGAGAATTAGTGTTACAGTCGCTAATTTACATTGTTACTTGGCAGATGAGTAGCGGTGGTGGATGTTGTAAATGATTCGGGCTGGCAGCTTGACAGCTAGAACCTTAAAAAATTAGCAAAATTTTAATTCCACATATCGTTTCTTTTTAAAAGAGCACATTTCTTCTTAGTCAAAATAGTCGAGTTTGACAAGCATTGGTGGTGATATAACTGGTGAACTTTTAGATTGTATTTGGGATTTTATGTTTTTTTTCCTGATTCTTCTTCACCTGATCTCTTCCAAACCAGTGGGTCTTTTCAGTTCTGTTTGCCACAGCTTCTTACTCTTCATGTTCTTTCTCCTTAGTGCTGCCTTCCACAGCCTTTAACATTCATTCTCTGCCTATGTTTTTTGAGCAAGGAATTACTTAAAAACAAACAAATGTTGTGCTTGAACAGCAGAGGGAGTTCTGTTGTTGTTTTTTTTTTTCTTTGAAATCTGTAAAATGTAATTTCATCCATGTTCAGGTTTCATAGCCTAGGAGGAGCCAGCCTCTTGGGAGAGGGTTATTAGATTCCATTTGCAGTAGTGACTGTTTTCATTTGAATGTGGTTTTTCTTCCCCCCATTAAACAGTGGAAATAATAATTACTTTTTTTTATAGTGTTCCAACACTTAACCCTTTAGCAACTTTCATTAGGAAACTCAGGAAGGAGATTTTGGCTAGTTGCAGGTCACATTGATCCATTTTCTTGACTGGTTGCATACAAAGAAAATTAAACTGCCTTAAGAAGGTTTTCTGGTTGTGGAGTGAAAAGATGTCCAAGTTTCTTTTGCTGCACTTATCAACTGTATGTCAAATGGCACCTTCTTGAGCCTGAAGTGAGGTTTTTCTTTCTGCTGGCTCCATTTGCCAAATTATTTTGTAGCTAACAGAAGCAAGGAAAGTTGTGCCTGGTGTCAGGCAACAGTTAGATGTTGGGCAATGGTACCGCTTACATCGGCTTCCTCAACAGCTGTGGCTCCTGTGGTGGGATCTGCATTCCCAGCCTTCCTACTTTCCAGCTCAGCTATTGGTGTAGGCGTACAGGGAAATAGGTTTTCTTCAGATAAATGATGGGGCATAAGTTTATGTTACTGGTGAGTTACTTTTCAGCTTGCTGCTTTTTTTTTTTATTGTGCACTGTGTGCCTGTGCTGAAGTTCAGGTCAACACAGCTCACAGAAGCAGAAAAGTGGCAGGAGAGGGATTCTTGGTGGGTGGTGCCTTGAGGCTTTAGTCTTGCTGAGAGGTTCCTACTAAATTCAGAGGCTCCACATCCCCATGGGCGAGGATACTGCAGGGCACAGTCTTTTCGCTGCCGTTCTGAGACTGAATCAACATTACAGGATGGTTGCAGATAGCATGGTTATTAAAGCCTTAAAGGTGAGAAGATCTAAAGATTACCTATTACAGTTTCTAGAGAATTACAAAAATAAAAAAATCTATTTCCAGGAAAAGCTGCAGTTTTGAAGTGTCTGCTGGACATACACAAGATTTTTGGGGAGAATGACCCTGCCTACATCCTTAATGATCTCTTCGTTACAGACTATTGCATCTGGATTCAAAAAACCAAGTGAGTTCTGAAGCAGTTATTGATACAGGAAATGTTTTTATTGTACTTCGTCTATGAACAAGTATCGGTAAAATTAAAAGAAATGCTGTCTCCTATAAATGCAAATATGATCAGTCTTTTTCATTTAATAGCCTTGTCCATCCAGCTGTTCTTACTTTGTAAGTGAAGACCAGTCCGTGCGGTTTTTTTATGTAGTGACATTGTTGGAGAAAGGGAGGAATTGCATTAAAAAAAAAAAACAAACCATGAATTTTCATTAATATATTAATGACTTTGGGAGAAAAGCAGCTTCTGGGGAATTTTCATTCTACAGCAATCTTTCTCAAGCAGAAGAATGTTTATGAAGCACTTAAGCAACATTAGGAAAAGGCTGCAAACACCTCCTGGTTCCACATTGGATTTATAACTTCCAGTACCATCAACAGTTCTGCTCAGACACACACGCAAACCACTTAGAGTTGAAACAGCTGATTTATGGACTGTAGCCGTTGTACCAATTGATTATTAACACCAGAATAAGTGTCACAAATCTCTGTGCGCTGTGTACTCTTGCCCCTGTAGTCGCTTGCCAGCTCACCCTCCCTGGCAGCGCGCTTTGACTTCCACTTCACTTGAGAGGGAACAGTGACTCTGGCACTTGCAAAGTCCTTGTGCTTCAGCACTTCTGCATCTCACCTGTGTCCCGTCAAGGGAGGCAGCACAGCTCTGCTTATCCCAGGGTCTTGGGAACTTTGCAGGCAGCCTGTTTTTCGAAGTGTCAGCGTGCTTTACTGGTTTGAAACCAAAAGCATTGGTAGGAAAACGGTGAGAAATTGATTAAAGGAACAAAGAAAGCTGCGTGTTCAAATCTGACTAAGCTTTATGTTGTTGTTTGCGTCAGATTTAATCTTTTCTCATACAGCTTTTGTGTCTTCTCCCTGTCTTCACGGCCTTTTCTGAAGGCCCACAAGTACACGTATGAGTTGCCAGTAATATTTCTGGAAGAAGAAGGCATTACTAATATAAACACAAAAAATGCCATTGTCTTATTTGTTAATATAGCAACATGTAGGCTCAGAAAACAGTGATTTAGATTAGTCTTTGCCTTGCGGTTCACAATTTAACAAGAGACTGTGGGAGAGAAAGAAACTTAAGTGCACAGGACACAAGAAGCAGAGAGGGGATACGGAGGGAACTTTGTAATGATCGTGATCAGAAAAGGGAACATGTGAGAGAACTGAGCCAGCTCGCACAGGCTGTGTGTTTAGGTGTGACCTTACCAGTACTTCTGGGAGAATTAAAGGCCTTGAGTTCATCGCTGGTTATTACATGTTGTAAATATTGTTCATTCTTATTCTTTGTATGCTTTCAATGACTGTGTTCCTACAGGTAACAATGCACAAAGTATTTAAAGCAACTACAGGTGTTACCAAGTATTTTGATTAATCAATCCTGATCCGTTCCAGGAACAGCAAGTTCGTTTCACATTGTCATTTTTGAGGAGGCCTTTTCTGGCCACACCTTAAACACAAGTATGGGGAAATTCATGTTCAGGTTGAAGGTGAGCTGGAAAAGTGCAGTAAAATAGAGAAGGAGAAAATTATTTCCTGCGTCTTGCACAAAGAAATGAGGTATAGGACAGTAATATCATGCTACCCCTATCAGTGAATATAATGTCTGGCAAGTCAGTCATGAAACCCAAGGCTTGCTTGAAATACAGCAGAGGAAAATGTATGGTGGATAGAAGTGACTGATATATTAACACATCTACTCCCAGACGCATACATTATGCACCAGTTAAGCAGAACTGACAGCTTCTGGAAGGGGGGCAATTAAGCTATCTTACTGTCATAATGACATGGCACAATAGTTGTCTGTCATTAGGAGAACAAAAAACTGTTCCTATCTTTAGGGACTGAATCGGGGAAAGCATTTAAGCATACGCTTAAGTCATCCCTGTTCAGTTTAGCAGTGAAGCAGGTGCCTGCGGTAAAGCGTGTGCAAAGTGAACAGGAACACTTTGGTTTTTTCCCTTTTGTCGGAGGGAGCAACAGTGTTTGCTTGTCATTCAGAAAATACCTTAACAGAGACAGAAATGGGGGCTGACTTTCTGTTAAGGATAGGGGGGTCACAGGTCCCCAAGGTGAGGAAGGGCATGGTACATCTTCCACTCCAGGGGTTATGACATTATCTTTGTGCTGAAAGAGTTTTGGGAGGGGAAGGTATTTTTGCAGTGTCTTTCAGTGAAGTTATTTGCATGTCCCATCAGTGTGGATACTCTCTTTTGTGTTTCTTTGCAGTCTTGATTAACTTTCTTTGTTCTCCTGTTTTTTCATAGCTCTAGTCCCAGGGTGCTTTCAAAATCTCTTGCAGGTTTTTCTGTTCTTCCCATCTTTCCCTGGGGTGTAACCCAAGTCCTGGTTGTGGCTGGGGGCTCTTTGTTCAAACAGTTAAAAAAGACTGTAGGTTTATTTTAGTTAAGAATCTGGGCACTTTAAAACCAGCTGGCTGCAAGCTTTGTAGCTCACCTATGCTGGCAGAAAAAAGTCTGGAAGCTTTAGATTTAGAAAAAAAAAAAGCTTGGCACAGGCAAAAATGTAATGCATGTATCAAGTGGTAGCAAACATACAGTTGTATTCCAGATTTAGCCTCCAGGAAAGGAACACCACTGACAGGTACTAGCTTTTAAATATTCAGTATGGAAACAAAAACCTTATAGGCAACAGCATGTCAAGAGTACAAATCCGGTTTGTGAGTGTAGTTTGGCTGTGGCTAAATTAGATGAGTAAGTGAATGTGTCACTGGGCTGGCAAAAGATGATTATTTTAAGCACAATGTATCTGGAATTGGAAATGATTAAGCTTCTGAATGAAACACATGCAGGTGGCTAATAGTCAGTTGAGTATGGTGAGTACAAGCAAGTTCTCTAATGGTATTTTTCAGAAAAATTCTTTCATTCAGGTACCCGTTACAAAGAGAAAAGTAGATTCCTTGAAGTTTTAGACAATGTGACATATTAGCAAGCATAGCTAAAATTTCTCGTTCCTGTTTGCAATCTTAAAGCTAGTTTTACCTGCTCTCTAGGTTTCTAGTGTCTCTCTTTGAGCTGCTTGGGAAGTTACTATTAATAATTTGATCTGTTGTATGAAGTGGCACGTAGAATTCTTCTAAGTGTTTGTTAGGTTTTGAAGAAAGGGAGCATGCTGCTCAGCCAAACTTATCAGAAAAGAGAGGAAAGTAGATGTTGACCTGGGTAACAAAAGCTAGACAAAGACCTATGGAGGCAGCTTGTGGTAAATCTCAGCAGGTGGTGTCAACATTTATGTTGAAAAGTCAGATGCAGCCAGATGGAAAATTGCATCTTTAACCCCTGAGGTCATAATGACATGTCATCACTTCATTTGATCCCCCTGCTAAGTGAGCTTATCATCCACCCTGCTGTCACTTCTGTTATTACTTTCATTTCCATAATAAACCTAAATTTAATTTGTCTGGTTTGCATACTTTTTTTTCTTCAGGTCAGAGCTTTTGCAAACCCCCAAGATACACATGGCAGCCTCTCCAAGGCGAAGTTACAATTGAATTTCTATTATAAGTCTGTCCTTTTCTGTATCCTTCACACCTTACTTTGAGCATGAGGGAGAAGAGAAAGAGCTGCCAGACCAGGGGAATCTGGATGTGGGTTTGTTGCGGGAAAGCCTTTGCACTTCTGCCAGAGAGGAGGGACGTGTCTGTGACCCCGCGGGAATTGTGCCCTTTATAGAAGTCAGAGTAGTTTACCCACGGACTCTGCTGAGGTTTCTTTGTGCAGCCTGATGTCTCCCCCCAGTGTTTTGTATTCCCCTTTGTGCCAGCCTCTATTCACGTTGGGTTTTGTTGTCCGCTCTTGTACATTTGTGCCTTCTGGTAGCTCTGCTGCTGGCCCTGACACGAGGAGGGGGGTGACTCCCTGGGAGTCCTTGTCTGGGCGAGCAGGGAGTTGTGCACCCTTTGGTGTCCTTACATAAGAGAACAAATGAACCTGTGCTGACTTAAAATATTTTAACCTAATTTTAAATACAGGGTTAGTTTTAAACAGATGTTACTTGAGTAATAAATATGAATGTATCTGCGTTCCTGAATGGGAGGTGAAGCTGTTAGTGTTCCTGACAGTTTTCTGGGGGTTAATGCTCCTGCTTTTGTGCAGTTGTGTGGTTCTAAACTTCTCGAAGTTTTATGGGTATGATGAATGCAGGAGAGTAAGGTGTTGGATCCCGTGTAATTTGTATTATATTTTCCATTAGCACTGTTGTTCTACTTTTTAACTTACCATCTCCCCTTTTATTCATGATCTGTTCTTCTGTCAAAACTATAAAAGCATTATTTGTGTTGTATGTTGTAGTAGCTCCAACTTGTGCAGTAAAGGAGAGGGATGAGCAGTTAAATTGTCTTGGAGTGTCCCGTAGAACTGTATCTGCAATTTGAGTTGTTATCCCAGAATAAAGGCTGCATTAATGTATGTAGTCACGCCTTCACATGTAAGTATGTGCGCTCCACGACCCAGGCAAATAGAATCTTACTAATTTTGGTGACTGGAGGTGTTAAGATACCCATTCAAGCATGGACTGTTACCTTTAGGTTAAAACCCAGGATTCCTGATGGCGTTCTTACAAGCTCTGCAGAAGCTGCTAGCTTTATTGGAACTAGCTAAATTAAAGCGAAGTCAGATATTCTGAAGCATGTTAAATTTGCTTCTCTTGACTTTCAGGTGAGATACACCCTAAAAGATAGGCAAGCTTCGTAGGTCTGTTGTCTGTTTTCCTTTTCATCTCTTTGTTATAATCGAAAGCTAGTCCTTGTTACAACATAATTACCTAGTCTGAAGCCAGCAGGGAGGTGCTGCCTAATGTCTAGGGTGGGAAGTTCTTCTAAATAAATGTAGGATTAATTACATTCACAGCATGTTATTCAGGTGATGAGATTGACTGTGGTTGTTCAGCCCCCTGTTTTCGTTTCCCCAGGTTTTCTGAATTACTGTTTTA